TCATGAATTTTGTCATTATTATGTTAGATCCTAGAAACTCAAATGCCAACTGCCAAGTAAACACCAGGAATGCTGGTTTGACAACTGCGATGAAGGGTAGCCCCACTCTAAGAAAAGGTCATACCCTCTTGGAACTCCCAGATGATCTAAAGAAAATTTATGATGCAAAAAATTTTAAAGCGAAATTAAAAGAATATCTAATTAACGGCGAGTACTATGAAAATTAATGAGTATATTCAGGATTGAATCTTAGTTTGACCTACTACTATGTGATTTAATTATTTTCTATACTTGATAAATGTATTAAAATATTAATATAAAACTTGACATATTTGTATTAGCATTTTTGTGCAGAAACAAACAAATAAATAAATAAATAAATGTCTGAATGCACATAGTTCCGTTTAGCAGAAATAGTCCAAATAAGCTATTTACAGTCAAAAAATTGTCTTTTCATTCCTATGAAACTTCTACAAAATAGCAGATTTAATCTACTTTTGTAATACAAACCTGCTGTAAATAAGAATGATCTATTTTTGAATACAGAATAGCTATTTAATTGTAATTTATCGTAATAAGAACGCTACTTCTAACAAATATTCTTGACTATCTAACTCACCAAATTTTTAAATTTTCAAAAATTACTTACTTACAATTTTTCATTCTACAATTCTTACTTTTGAAAACTCTGCTACATGAGTTTTGCTTCCTCTTCAAAAACTTATTTGCGAGATACGACCGTATTTGGAAAAAAGAGTCCCAAAAATATATTGTGTCCTCAATCACTTCGTCACCTTTTGACGCTTACATCAAGCAGAGACCCGCTTTCATTCAGCGATTTTATTCTTGATTCAAAATTAATCTTCTTGACAGCGTACTCAAGAATGTTTCTACCTAAATTCAGTAACTTTTATTCTCTAATGAAATTCCAAAATCATGCTAAACGTCATTAAATACGGATGCTAGGACTTGGTGAGTTTTTGGAGTTCCACTCTCTTTTGTGCCGTAGTATCTTGATTTATTTTGCGAGGAAAGCTTCGTACTCTTAAAGAATGCCTGTCATTCTTACATGTTGGAGCGCCTTCAATTTCGTATGATGCCGCGCAACACCTGTGTTGTGGAATAGTTGCTTGAAGCGCCGTGGTGCGATGCGGTGCGGCGGGCGGGCGGCCAGCGCCTACAAACCTAACAGGGATACTTCACGCATTGCAACACGACGCGCTGGCAACACGACGCTCCGCTCTGTGTCAGGCTCTAATGCTTCAACTCGCAGAGTCAGCGTTTTTCAATAACTGATGATTTTGAAATGTTTGCACACTCTGCATGGATTATTCTCATTTAAATTGATGATAAAAAAATGTATATTAAAGGAAAATATAATGTGTGTTTTGTAAAAATCAAGGTGATTCCGAGTGGAAAAAAGAGTCCCAAAAATATGTTGTGGCTGCAGTCATTTCGTCACCTTTCGACTGAAGTATCAGAGGCATCGTGCGACTTTTCAAAATTTTCGCCGCCATTTTATTTTTTTACAGAGAACTTGTTCAGCAAAAATCGGATATAATTGAGAAATTGTTCGTCCGAATATTTCACTGAATTTTCTTTGTGGTGCTGATGAAATTCTGTGACGTTTTCAAACAGATTCAACCAACAAATTCACTGTAAAAAAATAAATTGGTGGTGGAACTTTTGAAAGCCGTATGGCGCTAATGATATTTCGGCCGGAAGGTGACGAAAGAACTGCAGACAAAATATATTTTAGAGACCCTCTTGTAGAAATAAAGTCATATTTCAAAATAACGTTTTTGAAGGGGATGCAAAACTCTTGTAGCAGAGTTTTCAAAAGTAGGAATTCGACGATAAAAAATTGTAAGTAAGCAGCTTTCACAAATTCAAAAATTGAACGACGAAAATAGTCAAAAATAGCTGTCAAAAATAGCAATCTTATGGCGATAAATTGCGATTTAACAGCTATTCCGTATTCAAAAATAGAACACAGCGATTTATAGCACGTTTTTATTTCAGAAGTGGATTTAACTTGCTATTCAGTAGAAGTTTTATAGGAATAAATAGACAATGAATTGACCATAAATAACACATTTATCACTATCAATCTTGAAATTCTGCTACACGGAAAGTGGAATTTTACTTTCCGAAAAAACGTCATTTCGAGAAACGTTCCAACGAGGCACATCTGTAGTATAGAAATTACTTTTGGCAGCAAACACACCATAATAAACTTACGAGACCCGGTGCATCATTAAACAGTTCTGAAAACCCCGCTAAAGTCCCTGCAAACGTTGTGAATGATCGGCACTCGACCGTGTCGTTCAAAGAGCATTCCTCATGAAAAATTAATTTTCCACAATATCTTTAAGCTGATAAGTCCCATAAAGACTGGAAACATCCGAGACTTCATATCAAAAAGCGATAAAAGCTTTTTGCTGTCTGAGTTTCTCGAATTATTATGCACTTTTTTTCTTCCCGTGATGTTCGCACCAGACGAAATCACCCGAAAATCACGAAGCGCACGGAGGTTTTCTTCTTTTTCTTCTTTTTTTACCCGGCGAGCAAACTCCTGGCTTCTCGTTTTATCTCTTCGTAAATATTACGATGCTCCTCCGGTCACGTGCGGAAAACTCAGAAAATCTGAACAATGACTTTGAGACTATTATCCAGAGCCATTGTCTAATATTTGCAGGTTTAGTTGCTGGCAGTGTAGTAAGCGTACTATCATCTTCCCGGCAGCGTCGACTGTTGCACTTACCGTTCATGGGATATTTAACAGTGTTCCGATTTAGAAGAAAATGATCCAGACAGCATGGCTGTCCGCAAACAAGGGATATTTACGTCAAATACTCGTTTGCTGCGCTGGTGAGTAACATTTCTGAGTCTGGATCCGTTTTTGTCTTCAGATGAGACTGAATTAGTGGCGATTTTTGAAAGCTGGCGACACTGTTTTTCCTCCGTTTAAATGCATGTAAAACAATCGATTCTGGTATCGATTGAGGCAGCCGCCTTCATATAAAATCGATATTTTTAATGGATTTAACTAGAGAAAAATCAGTGTTGCCAACTTAAAAAATTGGCAGTGGACAGAGTTAAGCAAAATGACCCTTACCGCAGCCGAAAGGATTAATGTTACATCGTTCAACACAGAAATAGTCCTAAAAATTGATACTTCAAAAACATTTCACAGTCAGCAAGGCGCGATAAATTTTGAATTGGAAAAACACTGTGAAAAAAATTTGACAGCACTGTCGCCAGCCTTAAAAATGATTCATTTCCGTCGCCTAAAACATTTTTCATAAGTCAGATTATGGTTGAAAACGTTCATCCCAAGTTCTAAAGATAAGTATTATGCAGGGTGATCCAAGGTTGAACCGCCAGACTGCAGGAGCGTGTCCTATGGGTCAAAATAGGACTTTTTTCTTCTTTGAAAATTTTTCAAAAAGTGATTTTTAAGGTAGTTACAAACCCCCTCCCCCTAATCCTTGGAAATGAATCGTACATTCCGGTAAAGACAATGCACCGAATCTTATTTTAATTATTGGTATGAACACATAATATGAAACTTTAAATTCATTCAGTTCTCAACGGAGCTCAAAATTGCCACTTTTGACCTTTCTCCCCCGCATTCGGCTCTTCTGGAGGACAATTCGCTCCTTAAATATTACAGGCGGATCCAGACACTTTAAACGGGAGAGAAGGCGGCGGATGGGACCGCGGGGCATCCCGCGGAAAATTTTTATAATTTTAAAGCATCCAGTCCAGTATGCAGTTTGAGTAAATTTAGTCACGAATAATTACCAATTATTAGCTTCCTTCTCTCTTCTTTCCTTCGCTCCTTTCTCCTTTTTTTCTTCCCTTTTACCTCTCCCTTTTCTCGGGCGAACGGGGGGAGAGGGCGTGCGACCAGGGTGGCATGAAACGTAAGGAAGAAATAAAATATTAGTAATTTCAGTGAAATATTTCATGAAATTTCACGAGGCTGTGAAATTGTTCATAACTTTCAGGGGCTAGAGTATAACCCGCACTCAAAAACACAAAACTAGAAAAAAGTCACAATCCTCACGTTTTGCGAAATGAACCGGTATTTTTCAATATCTTTCATAATATAAACCGCTCCGTAGTACGCTGTGGTGGCCGGCGGGCGGCTAGCGCCTACAAACCTAAGGGGATACTTCAAACATTGCGCAATGCGTGGAGTATCCCCTTAGGTTTGTAGGCGCCAATGCGCGTTCCGCGTTGGCAGCACGACGCTCCGCTCTGTGTCAGGCTTTAATACTTTAACTCGCAGAGTCAACGTTTTTCAACTCACGATTTTGAAATGTTTGCACACTCTGCATGGATTATTATCATTTAAATTGATGAGATAAAAATATATATATTAAAGGAAAGTATAATGTGTGTTTTGTAAATATCAAGGTGATTCCGTGTCAAATTCAATGACTTCCAAAGCACTTTAATCTTTTCTGCACTTTTAGCATTTGAATTTTAGTGAAATCTTTCATTATAGATTTCACGAGGCTGTGAAATATTTCATACTTTTCAGGGGCTAGAGTATGCAACCCGCACTCAAACACACAAAAATAGAAAAAAGTCACAGTTCTTACGCTTTGCGAAATGAACCGGTATTTTCCAATACCTTTCATAAACTTCTGAAATTCCATGAAATATTATGCGTAAAATTTCAAGATTTTATTTTTCATGAATTTTGCCACCTTCAATGCATATCCACTCACGTCCCCCTACCTACGTCCCCCTACCTACGTCCCCCTACGTCCCCCTACGTATTCTTACGTCTCCCTATGTCCCCATACGTCCTCCCACGTCCTCTTACGTCCTTCATTCCCCCTACGTCTCCCTACGTCCCCCTACGTACCCCTACGTCTCCTTACGCCCCCCTTTGGATCTGTCTCCTGATCCCTTTCCACAGATCCTACGTCTCCTATGAGCCTCAAGTTACGTATCCATTCTAATGCCTCTTCGGAATGTCCCAGTGAGCATCCTGCCGTTCGTCTACGGGCTGGTGCAGACGTGGCCGAACCTGGCGATCGAGGAGATCCTGAAGGGGGAGGCGGGCTTTGCGGTGGACCCGGAGGACATCGCGGTGATCGTGTCGATGGTGACCCTGGGCGAGTTCCTCATGCCGATCCTCTTCGGGTTCGTCCTCGTGCGGCTCGGCCGGAAGACGAACATGCTCCTCAACGCCCTCATCTACGCCGTCGCCTGGGCCCTCATCATCTTCGCCCGATCGCCGTTCTGGCTCATCGCCGCCAACTTCGCTGCCGGCCTCGGCTGTGGCATCATACTCATCATCGGGCCCATCTACATGGCCGAGATCGCCGACTCCAAAATTAGAGGTTAGAATTTCTTGAAATAGTCTATTAATCGCCCGGGCTGATTATTGAAATTGATGGACGAAGTCATAGACAAAGAAGACAAAAGGGATATAGAGGGATTCTATTGGAAGAAGCGAGAAGTTGCAATGGACATAGGAGTCAACAATCGGGCCGCAACAGGCCGATTATTGAAATTGATAGACAAAGTTGTAGACAAAGAAGACGAAAGGGGTATTGTATGGACAGGGTTGCACGGTTGAAATGAAAAGTACGAAATATTGAACGAAATATTGAAAATTTCCGTGAAATATCTCATGAAATTTCCCAAAATTCTGAAAAATATGAACATATTCTCAGGGGCTGGGTATGCAGCACGCACTGAAAAACACCAAAAAGCAAACACCAGTCGCTTTTCATTTAATTTTGAAAAATGTTATTCTATATTTTTCAAATTTTTCTGCAATTTCATGAAATATTTCATATAAAATTTCAAGATTTTATTTTCCATGAAAAATTGCAACTCTGTGCACAGAGGGATCTTATTGGTGGGAGCGGTTCTTCGTCGTGAATACTCCTGCGGGCTGATTTTTGAAATTGGTAGACAAAGCTTTAGACAAAAGAAGACAAAAGGGATATGGGGGGATCCTATTGGTGGGAGCGGGTGGTTGCAATGAACAAAGGAGGTAGGTAATAGACTAAATAACGGCAACCCACGAGAGAACCTATGGTTTGTCCATAATTCACTCCCTTAGTCTATAGGAACCACCCACTACAATCAATAGGATCGCTCTATACTCCCTATGTTTTATTTGTCGATAGCTTTGCTTGTTTATCGATTTCAATAATCAGCCTGCAGAGATAAGATAATTTAGAGACCTCGCACTAAGAAATCTATTTTGCGGTATCATATCCAGTATGGCCCTAAAACTCATTTTTTCCTCAGAAATTATCAGAAGCTACTTTTTAGGTGTAAGCAAGATTAGGAATTGCCATTGATTGATTTTACGCCCAAGAGACAATTCTGAACAATGCTTGGTTTATCATCGTGAATTTACGACTCTTTTTAAGAAAGCAGCATAATCTTAATACGTTTAGACAATGAGAAACTCCATCTTCATATTTAAGTCACAAAGAGGCCTTGATGATTTAATTTGAAGTTAAGCACAACCAAACGATGGCAGACAATAATTACAACTAAAAATAGATAAATGCAAGTAAAAAGTTCTTTCTTTAAAAGTTTTATTGCTGAAAAAACACCTAGAACATGATGAACCGATTCATGCTAATTCTTCATCAAAGTAAAATTCGTTCAAGTAAAGTCAAACAGTAAAATTGGACGTTTCAAACAATGGGATCGCATTGAACAAGAGGGAACAAGCACGATTGCAAGTGTGTTTAGAAGCATGCATGAGTTTTTTGTATGTTGTCTATTCTCTGCTTGAAGGGGGGCTCTCCTCATTGAACTTTGTTGCAATAAAATTAAAATAGGATGCAGTTTTTCTCTGCATTGCAAATTTCCTACCTGTCCCACACTACAAATTTCCCTAAATTTCCTTTGTAATTCCGATAAAATTCAGTGAAATTTTCAAACAGATTCAACCAACAATTTCTCTGTAAAAAAATTAAATGGCGGCGGAAATTTTAAAACGTCGCATGGAGCTTGTGATACTTTGGCCGGAGGATAATGACATACCCCGAATTAAGTCCGTTTTGTACTTTCAACAGGTGCTCTGATAAGCGTGTACATCACAGTGATTGCCATCGGTCAGATTTTCATGACAAGCGTTGGTATTTTCATCTCCTACTTCGACATGAACCTCATAGCGCTGATCCTGTCCATCGTGGCTTTCTTCTGCATCCTCGTCATTGCCGTCGAATCCCCCAGTTGGCATCTCATTGACAACGATGAAGTCAAGGCGGAAGAGAGTTTCAACTACTATTGGAATACGGGCGAGGAAGCTGATAGACCGCAGGTTTGTCTCCATCAACGAGTGACTGAGTGAAGAAGAGAGGAGAATAATATGATAACATTTTGAAGCAATAGCAGAACTACACAACCGGATAAAAAGGTTAATTTTGCAACACTTCTTCGCTTACCTGACATAAGGGCGTAACTACACTCCGCAATGAACCCTGTCCACCATACAATCCAATGCTTTCCCGGGCTAATCTCAATGTGTAGTTAAACCCTTATGTCAGCCAAGACGATTCGCATGGCCAAAAATAATAAGCAATAAATTAACTCAATGTAGCGGGCTAATTGTTGAAATTTATAGACAAAACGATGGACAAAGAGGACTTAGGGAGTATGGAGCGATCCTTATGGCTTAAGTAATTGATTCCTACAGACTGAGAGAGGAAATGATAGACAAACTATTGGGTCTCTCGTGGGTTGCCGTTAGTTAGTCTATTATCTGCCCTCTTTTTCCATACCGTCCATACCATGTCACCACCCGCTTCCACCAATAGGATCCCTCCATATCTCTTTTATCTTTGTTTAGGGCTTTGTCTATCAAAGTCAATAATCAGCTCAAAGGAGTATTCACGACGAAGAACTGATACGTTGGAATGCCCTCAATATCGTATGATACTGTGCAACACCTCTGTTGCGAAATAGTTGCTTGAAGCGCCGTGGTACGCCGCACTTGGCGCCTACAAACCTAACTGGGATACTTCACGCATTGCGCAATGCGTGAAGAATCCCAGTTAGGTTTGTAGGCGCCAGTGCGCGTGTCGCGCTGGCAGTAGGTCTCTCTGCTCTGTGTCTGGCTCTAATATTTGAACTCGCAGTCAGCGTTTTTTAATTGATTCACGATTTTGAAATGTTTGCCTACTCCATTGCAAAGCATGAAAAGGAACCGGTATTTTTCAATATCTTTCATAAATTTTTGAAATTCCATGAAACATTTCACGTGAAATTTCAAGATTCTATTTTTCATGAAATATTGCGACCCTGCGAACACCATGATACTCGATTCTTTACCATAGCTTGAAGTGGAAAAATATCTATGGTCGATCACTGCGCCTCGCCACTGAAAACTACGCTTTTTTCTCAGGCAGGAGAGGCCCTGGCCGAGCTGAAAGAGACGGTGAAGCTGGAGATGGAGTCCTCGAGTTCCTACCTGGAGTTGTTCCGGACACCGAGCAACATCCGCGCCTCCATCATCGTCATCACCCTCTCCTTCTTCCAGGGGGCCAGCGGGATCGTCGCTGTACTCACATACGGCTCCACCACCCTACCCAGGTACAAATATGTGAACTTTCAATTAATATGAATTGGACTACCTATATTTCATAAAATGGACTAACATTCTCTGGCTCGGATTACAAACCATATACCTAATATTTAGTTTCCTCATGCACATACGTGTTTTTACGGATGTGTCAAAAATTGTAGTTCTGGATAGCAAAATGTAGTCCAATGGACCACTAGACAAGGTACGAAGTTAAGCATTCTGATACTTAATCAAAATTTAACATAGAACACGATCCGTACAACGAGAATTACTGAAATTTACTCCTAACCAAGATATTCAATGTTTTATGTTGCGTGAATTCAAACCTCCCGCTGAGAACACTATGGTATACGTACGTCAGATCGCAAACTATATGTTACCGTGGCAGTCTCCACTATACGAAAATATGGCAATCTCAATCTTGACGCTTTGGTTCAGCTATAGCAATTTTTTTACACTTTGAACAATGAAGGGTGGGAAATGAACACTGTTTGTTTGAGAAGCCTGCCAAAACCGATGCGCGATTTGACTCACCTAGAGTATTGTGTTTCTTGTGACCGGGCAATTCAAATTTCTCGTGACCAATGTAAAATTAAAACGTTACTATCTTAGTTAAGAGTTGATTTCAGAAATGTTTAATGCAAGAATCGTGTTCTACGTGGAGTTTTGGTTAAGAAACTGTATCAGAATGCTTAAATTCGTACTTGGTCTAGTGGTGTATTGTGACCGTCCGTACGGGGAAACACCTAAAACCATATTAAGAGGAACTAGAATCTAAAATTAAGGACATTTGTACTACATTTTGAGATTAGAAACTATAAATTCCGGCCCGGTTTAAAAACAACGTATGTGCCATTAGTTTCCCTACGTACATACGTGTTTTTTCAGTTTATAGCTCCAAATTGCAAAATGCAGTCCATTTAAAAGTAAAATTTGCTCCGCACAGGAACTTATTTTGCGAATTTGAAATTTTCGAACAACTTTAAAGCCAAAAAGGTCTTATTGGCACCTGTCCTCTATGCATCTCTGCGCAGGTACGATGGGTTCTGGAAGCCGTATCCAACGATGGCCCTGGTCAGCGCCCTAAACCTGGTCTTCAACCTCGTCTCCATCGTGCTCATCGATAAGCTTGGTCGGCGGCCTTTGAGTATCGTCTCCAACGCTGGCGACGCCCTCGGGACCGGGATCGTGGCTGTTTACTTCTTCCTCGAGCAGAACACCGAGTGGGACACCACCAACATCAAATGGCTCCCCTACATCGGTATGATCCTCTATATTTCCTCCTATGGAGGTGCCATGGCCGTCATACCGCACATTCTCGTTGGGGAGCTCTTCCCGACCAATGTCAGGTAATTTTAAACGCCTTCCTTCCTTAGCTTGTGTCACAAAATACTCCATCAAAATATCACGGTCAGGTGGTGTGATTAGTTTATTCGATGACTTGCACCAATCACAGCACTTGACCTTGATATTTTGATGGAGTATGTTGTTAGTGTGACACAGGCTCTTGGCCCGTTTCAATCAAATAAAAGAATTGAATTTTCGGGCCAAATTTTGCAATGGAGATGTTGCATGTGTGAGGAATTCGCGATTTGATTGTTGATTCTTTGGTAAAAGTTTGCGAGAAACATGATGGTGCCACTGGTTTTCTCTGAAATCAACTCCCAAGCTCAAAAAAAGCTCTCAAGTTGAGGCCAAAATGGAGGGGATATCCCACGCTATCCTGAGAGTCCACTTCCGCATTAAGACAAACTCTCCATGCGAAGATAGGGAGCAAATACATTAGCAAGGTTGCCGTGTTTTCAGTTTTAGAGTCCCCAAATAAAATTGCAGCCCTGTTAATGTATTTGCTCCCTATCTTTTAGCCCAGGCAATAGAGGATAGAATAGGGGTTTACCTTGCAAAATTTAGGTGAAATCAGGTTATGATCGATTCCTATGTAATTTTTTACGCTGAATCCGAATTTTTGGTTTCCCAACAAATTTNGATGGTGCCACTGGTTTTCTCTGAAATCAACTCCCAAGCTCAAAAAAAGCTCTCAAGTTGAGGCCAAAATGGAGGGGATATCCCACGCTATCCTGAGAGTCCACTTCCACATCAAGACAAACTCTCCATGAGAAGATTGGGAGCAAATACATTAGCAAGGTTGCCGTGTTTTCAGTTTTAGAGTCCCCAAATAAAATTGCAGCTCTGTCAATGTATTTGCTCCCTATCTTTTTATGGAGAGTTTGTCTTCATGTAGAGAAGGACTCTCAGGATATCGTGGGATATCCCCTCCATTTTGGCCTCAACTTGAAATCTTTTTTTGAGCTTGGGAGTTGATTTCAGAGAAAACCAGTGGTACCATCGTGTTTCTCATGAACTTTTACATAAAAATCAACAATCAAATCGCAAATTCCTCACACATGCAACATCTCCATCGCAAAAGACGAAAATATGGCAACCGCGCAAGCTTTTATCGAATTAGATTTCAAATGATCATGAATTATCGTTTATTTGAAACATCCTATTGTCCGTATGACTCATATTGATTTTTATTTTACTTACGTATGTACATTGACAATACTGCCTAGCTAGAGTAGCACGCCGTATGAGTCTTTAGCCCTTGTCATATCTCCTCTGATACAAAAACGTATTACTGGGAAAATTATTAATATTTTCATTCGAATTATTCAGACAATTTTGTGGGCAGTTTAATCTAGCATATCTGCAAAATTCAAGGGAAAATATGCATGACTGCCCTGAAAAATGCATGTTGTCTCCCAGAAAATTTGGTAACTCTCGAATGTACGTACGGCTTCTTTCCTTAGCACGGCAGGATATGAGGGGTTCAAGGAGACTTCAACGAACAGCTAGAAACATGGAGGTCACTTTCCAACACCACGCTGACTCTGGTTCATGTAATTCATTGATGTGTACATTACTTGTTTGGACAATAAGGACCTATTACTTACGTTTCGGGAATCATCCTTTCATTGACAGACATACACAGCAATGCTAAGGAGAAACGCTGTATGAACATTCGAATTTTGTCAAATTTGTTAAATTTTAGCGGGTAGACTTTGATTTACAAAAAAAGTCTAAAAAAGGGTTGAAAATAATAGTGAATTTTTTACCGTTGTTTCTGTTAAGAGTTGTTGAAAGGTACTTTCTAAGAGACGTTGGGAATAGGGTCATCTAGACCTTACAACGGTGCGTGTAAGTCCGTAACCACGTATCTCGTTTAGGGCACAGACGTTCGAGGCGCCCAACTCGCGGCGAGACGTGCTCTTGCCAAAAATTAAGTTGCCCGATCAAATTGGGCAATGGCTGATGTAACTTGGTTCTTTTTTGCTGAAGGCGGTCCAATTACTGCAGGGCGTCTACTAAAACAGGCTAGCCAAAAATCAGTACTTTTTCCAGTGCATTTCCCAAGAAATTCAGTGCCTCCTCAACAGAAAAATTCAGTACGTTTGTAGTATCTCTAATCGACGAAATTCGAAAAATTTGAAAAATGCGAATTTCTCGCTCAAATTGCTACAAGAATGACGAAAAAATGAACCAAAATCCGGACCTTTGAGCAGACTACTTTTTCAGTGCTTCCGGACCGTCCCCAAATGAGCAGTACTATGTCCGGACTTGTAGATACCCTGCACTGATTTAAATCAAAAGCTTTGATTGCTTTGATAAAAACTTGATTATATTGAGGAAACGGCTGTACGGTCATATGTACAACCGACAGGAAAAGACAGCTCTACACCAACATGAGGATGAATTGGGGCACCATTCTGATTTTGATTTGCCCAAAATTTTAGCAGTCGAGTCCCGGGACTTTGCCAGAGGTGTGTTGGAGATGATAAACATCGTCAAGAATAGACGTGAACTTTAGGGCTGACATAGATGGATTGAGCGCATCCTATCATCAGTTTTTCTGTGGTAGAGAAGAGCCTCTATAAATACTCCTTGGTGGGTATAGAGGTTGGCCTGAGATCAAGGAGGTGATAGTGCCCCTTTCCATCTTTGCTCTGTTTTTCAGTTTGCACTGATTCCTACCTCGGTCAGTTGCATGCTCATTTTCTTGTTTTAAGTTTTACATTTTTTAGCTTCTGTTCCAGTTAAGAATGGGCATGTAATTGGCCCGAAACGTCCTGGTTGTTTATGTATCCTCTAGCCTTGTATATCCACCCTAGTAAAAATTGGCAGTAGAATCTGTGTTCCAAAATACCATAGACCTACAGCCGGCTGTAAGATTTCCAATAGCTTCTATAGCCGGCAACACAATTTCTTATAGTCTTTTATAGCCGATGGCGATTAATCAACAGCCTGGCGATAAAGTGTATTTCTAAACCTTACTAATTACGGATGCTAGGACTTAGTGAGTTTTTGGAATACTGCTCTCTTTTTGGGCCGCAGTATCTTGATTTAATTTGCGAGGAAAGCTCCGTACTTTTGAAGGATGCTTGCCATTCCTAATATGTTGGAGTGCCTTCAATTTCGTATGATACTGTGCATTACGTCTGGTGTGAAAAAGTTGCTTCAAGCGCCGCGGTACGCTGCGGCGCGGCGCTGCGCACGGAGGGCCAGCAGCCAAGTTTAGCCGGACAAAAGTCCTCAGAGGCGCCTGAACTTACTAATAGGAGAGAATATGTGTTTTTAGGGGTAATTTAGGTCGCTGAATCCATATTTTGGGTTTCTTTTAAGAAATTTTGAAGTTTTTGATGAGAATTATTAAAAAAAATTGCTTTATCAACGGGTAATTAATGCAATTTTTCACTCAAATCTTCAGAGGTACCTGAGTTTGTTTTGTGTGAAGAAATTGGTTTCTGAGGGTTATTTTGGTGAGTAAATTACAGTTTTGCTTTCTTTGTTCAACATTTTTCAGTTTAAAATTCAAAAAATTTGAAAAATGATGATTTATCTCTGGGTAATATATCGACGGTGAAACTACCAAACCACGTATCTCGTTTGCGGTGTTTAAAAATCTACGCTCACATTTTATTTTTTCGAAGTAGACCAAATCAATATCATTCCTTGAAATTTTCACGGAATTTTCTCCGCACAAAGAGGAAAAATCACAGAAATTTTCAAGACTGGATGTTAAGTAGTTTTTCATTTAAAAAATAAAGTATGACAGGAAGTCTGCGACGTCGCAAACCGAGATACGTGGTTTGGTAGTTTCACCGTCGATATGGGAAATATATGTCGCGTATTTTTCAGCAGAATTAGCGTTGCATCTCATCTCGCCCAACGGAAATATTCATAGCCCAGAAAACTGCCGAAAACTGCTAGTGAACCAAAGAAATTCCCAAATTTCAAAGTGTGCTTTTACTTAAAATTGACAATTTGAACCCTTCAGACATGTCCAGAAAATTCAGGAGTCGTTTGCATGTCGCGTATTTTTCAGCGTAATTATAGTATTGAATCTCATCTCGCCCAACGAAAATACTCATTGCTCAGAAAATTGCAAAAAATTGCGAGTAAACCAAAGAATGTCCAAAATTTCAGAGTGTGTTCTTACACAAAATTGACCATTTGAACCCTCCAGACATGTCCAGAAAATTCAGGAGTCTTCTGCTTGTCGCGTATTTTTTGGCGGAACCAATGAAAATATTGTTTTGAAGAATGCACTTCTTTTGCCAGAAATTAGAAGATATAAAGGCAAAGCCGGAATAAAACCTTGAATTAGAAAATTTTATTCAGAATCAGGCATAATTTAACCCCAGAAGTCGGGCCGCAGTTGTATGGACATCTATAATAACAATATAAGAAGATTAGCGTAGGATAGCGCCATTATACGGCATGCTTGCAATTTGGCAACACTGCCTTTCATCCATATGAACACATCTACGATAGAATCGATATATATCGAAAATCCTAACCTAAAATCGATTTTCGTTAGTGTATTTACAATGAGAAAGAGCATTGATGCTAACATGCAAGAATCGCCAATACCTGGCACGTGAGTGATCCAATATAAGAAATTAGCATAAAATCCTCGATCTTGCGTCACAAAAAAATGCATAACTCACGGTAAGGCAAGAAAAGGCAAATGAACCAATGAAAATTTAGATGTTTAGGATGTATTGAACCACATGGTAGCGGTCCGTAACCTTACAGATCTTTACAGAAAATTGCAGACCTCTTTAAACCTAAAAATTAGGACATTTTCGTGCCCAGTTTTTAATTGTGTGTACCAGACTATACAATGCACAAAATTGATAAAAATACCTTAAAGTAAAATGAAAACATGTTAATCTAACTTGGTAAAACACTCGTTATGTTGGGAAACACTCGAAGGTTTGTGGAACATGACCTTTTGGATGAGCGTTGAACCAAGCCAGCATACAGGATAAATAAACACACCGCACGCGCTCGCGAAAATCTTGGCATCGCAGTCTTATTAGTGATAAGACCCCCAAACCCAGTGATGTACAGATACTCCATGATATACCTTATCGCTCAGTGGTGTCTATTTTCGAATTTTCCGGACAAGCCAAAATGGACTTTTGTCCAGCTAAATTCGATTCCTGGCCCTCTGTGCGGCGGGCGGGCAGCCAGCGCTGAACGCGCATTGGCGCCTTCAAACCTAACAGGGATACTTCACGCATTGCGCAATGCGTGAAGTATCCCTGTTAGGTTTGTAGGCGTCAGTGCGCCGCCGCTCCGCTTTGTGTTAGGCTCTAATATTTAATCTCGCGGAGTCACCGTTTTTCAACTCATGACTTTGAATGTTTGCACATCCTGTATGGATTATTCTCATTTTAATTGATGAAAAAAAAAATATGTAGTAAAGGAAAATATAATGTGCGATTTGTAAATATTAAGGTGATTCCGTACAAACTTAAGGATTTACAAAGCACAAGAATTTCTACACAATTTCTTATAGTTTTTTATAGCCGATGGCGAAAAAGCAACAGCCAGGCGATAAAGTGTAAAGCCCGGCGATAGGAACTATAGCCCGGCTGTATAATTTTTTATCGCTTCGTGTAGCCCGGCCGTATGATTTTTTCCACTTTCTACTGCCAGCTATATGATTTTCTATAGCCCTCTTCAGTCGGCTATAAGAACTCCTAAGGTATTTTGAAACGCAGCTCTTATCGCCAATTTTTACCAGGGCATTTGTTTTTTGTATTTTAGTGTGTTTTTATTCTTGATTATTTTTTTTATTTTCAGGTACCATGCCTCCGTCGTCTCGGTGATTTGCATCGCCGGGAGTTGTGCGCTGTTCAACTACATCTACTTGGGCGTGAGCCGCGCGGTCGGGGTGGCGGCCATGTTCGCCATTTTCACCGTTTGCAGTTTCGCCGCCGCCGTCTTCTCCTGGCTTTACGTATTCGAGACGAAGAACATGTCCCTCTCGGAGATCCAAGCCATCATGACAGGGCGGCGACGGACGGGCAGCAGGCCATCACACGAGTTGAACGATCTATCTTAACTTATTTCATCTGAGATCTTCTCGTATAACCGAATCAGGGCGGCCTCAGTCAAGGAGGGCTTTGCGATTTGACCGTCGATTCTTACGTAAAAGTTCGCGAGAAACACGATGGGCACCATCGTGTTTCAGTGAAAATGTTTGTGAAAAGGAGTTGTCAGTCAATATCCATCAGTTAGATGACCGTGGGTGAAAATAAGTGGGTGGATAATTCCTCTACCTCTGGCAGGTAAACTGTGGGTGAGTAGGTTACGTGTCCAGGCATTCCGGGGACACGCTAATTAACTGCTTAGGAGACGCCCAGTAGCATCTCCATTCACCGGGCAGTGAAAATCTCTGCGTAGGTACAACGCGAATGGAAGTTCGATGACGGGATTTTGGAGATTTTTCATCATTCGAGCCTCGTGGTTCAAGAGAACCGCTGATTCTTGAATATCGATTTTTCACTAAATTCAAATATTGAGGGCGCATCCATTTTTTAAAGAGGGAACCACATCATTTCTTTGACATCGATTTTTCATCATAAAATCAAGTCTTTTCCAGCAGGTCGATTGTTGACTCGCTATCGAATGACCTTGATCGATATATAGCATTGCCAAGATAGGGCTTTATCGATCAAGCTCATTCGATAACGACTCAACAATCGACCCGCAGGAGCAACAAGAGCGACGCTCGTCGCTCGTGCGAAGGGCCGAGCGCCTTTTCAAATTTCCCGCGCGCCATTTCGAATTCCCCGCCTTTTCGGCCTTCTGAAGCTCAGACTCCCATTGGCTGCGCGCTAAATGCCTGCTTAGGTGCGGGATGTTTCCATTTATGTAGGTTCATCTATTTAGGAACTGAGCTAAAGACAAACGGGAAAAAACACTGTTAATAAAACTGCAATATTTGAATTATATGGGATTGTAGAATTTTATGATGATACAATCCACAAGCAAAGGGACCTTTGGTGTCGAGAAATCCATAATTCATATACTAATACAAATTATCATATCACCTGAAGGCATGTTTTATGCATCAAACACACATCATTTACCCAGAAATGAAGAACCAAATCAGAGTGCTGACAGGCTGGCATTGGTCTTGAAGCAAAAAAAGTGCGACAAAGATGTACCCAAAAACGGTGTGCAGGGGGTGAGTCTATGTGGACTCAAAATCGCGAAAAATTAAAAGCTTGGCTGATCCTAATTTGCGATCTCGCATTTGAAATTTTCATAGAAAATTCAAGTTTTCTACTCATTTTGATCAGTTTCTTCAATTTATTTGTCCATTGAATTGGTGTTGATCGGTTCACGTATTTATTTTTCGTTCGATTCATGTCGATCGAATACATGCTCACTAGTAACATGCACACTACCAATCATGCTCTTTTTTTTAACTGAACAATTCGCCTTCTGCTGCGTCTGCAGCAATTGTTGTTACGAATATGTTGTGCGTGCTGATTTTACTACATTACATAGTCGATCTTTTGAAGGCGTTTTATGTGCGCAAGTGGCGCGATCCGTCGAAGAACAAACCAAACAGGAATTGAGCGATTCATTCAATCTTTATTCTGTAGTTCTCCGACAGATAGTGCTACGTGCGCACATAAAACGCCTTCAAAAGATCGACTATGTAATGTAGTAAAATCAGCACGCACAACATATTCGTAACAACAATTGCTGCAGACGCGGCAGAAGGCGAATTGTTCAGTTAAGCACAAAAAAAGAGCATGATTGGTAGTGTGCATGTAACGAGAGAGAATGTATTCGATCGACGTGAATCGAACGAAAAATAAATACGTGAACCGATCAACACCAAATCAATGGACAAATAAATTAAAAAAACTTATCAAAATCAGTAGAAAACTTGCATTTACTATGAAAATTTCAAATTGCGAGATCTCGAAATAAGGGTCAGCCAAAATTTGATTTTTCACGAGTTTGAGTCCACATAGACTCACCCCCTGCACACCGTTTTTGGGTAAATTTTTGTTTTGTTCTGTTTTTTTGCTTCAAGACCACTGTGCTGAACTATGCAGTCAAAGTATTGTACTTTTAAGAAAAAGTTGCATCAAGTTTTAGTTCCCTAAGATTAGTGTGGTTGATGTGCATACTTAGTTGAATTAAAATGTAAAATGTCTTCTATCGGCACAAAAATGAACTAGATTGCTCGCAGCTTCTTCTCCAAAACAATAGTATTTTGTATCAAAGTCTAAAATTCAGTTTTTTTTACCGAAATTCATAAACACTCCATTCCAGGGGGATATGTCTCAGATAGTCTCAGATCTGACTAAAGTTAAAAAATACGTACCGCCATTGCAGCATTTCAGAATCTCCTATCACGTATGATTCTTTTGAAGTAATATCAACCAGAAAATATCCTGGAAATTCTGCGTGGAAGTTTTTGAAATAAGGAAAAAATACTCAGAAAATTTCAATACATACCATCCAATATTTTCCTTAAAAAAGAAAGAAAAAAAAAACAATTAATTGCAGATGCGTATTTTTTACTTCAGCTATCGATACAAATTGGATAGACTTTCAGTATAGTTAACTTCTCAGTTTCATTACATGATAATGATGATTTTAAAAAATGACTTAAAAAGACCATAGAATACTGAAGACCATGGCCGGATTTACCTACTTGCCACCCATGGGCCGCCTGTATTTTGCCGCCCTCTTCTCATTAATTTTGAAACATCAATAAAAACCATCAAATGAACAAGCCGGAGGGAGAAGGATGCATAAGACGCGTTCACTCGTGTTGGACACATTTTTTGCGTAAGCCCTGTCAACACTACCAGCAAAAGTTCACGGAACTTCGCGCGAAAGTTCAGCTGCGTAAACCTATCTCTGTGGGGACAAGGCCTTTCATTTGTAAGAAATGAACTAAAAAATTCAGATAGAACAAACATAAATGTGGTTTAATAATTTTAACTTCCGCCGCCGTGCCGCGCTGAGCACACTGTGTTTGGCGCAATGCGTGAAGTATTCATGTAGTCTTGTAGGCACTGTGCGTTTCACGCCGCGCCGCGCCGACCGCTGTTGACCGTACTGTGTTTGACGCAATGCGTGAAGTATTCATGCAGTCTCGCAGGCGCTAATATGTGTTACATGCCGACTGCCGCGTCGAGGGCTTCTCCTTTTCATCTCAAGTCCTCGTCATCATTTCTCTTTGCGCAGCGTCGCTCAAGGCCAAATTACGTGTTTGGTTTCTCTCTTAACTCAACTAATTAAAGGTGTGCAGTATTTTGTATCACCGAAATACGACAAAATTAGAAATAAATGAACTCTCAGGAAATGAGAGATTTTGTCACCTTTTCTTGTTTGTAATTTTTTTCTGAATCCGATTTTTTTGTACCTGCATTTAGAAAAATTGCAAAATTTGCCGCCCCCTAATTTTGCCGCCATGGGCCGCGGCCCATGTGGCCACTGGCCACCCCCTTAATCCGGCCCTGCCAAAGACACTGTTAAGTTACTGTGGAACGTCACTGGAAGGTAGATCCCCTCCCTTCTCCTGATACCTAGAGCATCTTTTTCTTAACACAATTCATACCTTTCATTTACATATACTGTGTGCAGTTTTTATGTTGAGCACTATCAATATAGTATCCAACAGAAACTTGTTTGGATGTTTTCATCAATATATCGAGTCGGGTAAAGCACGACTGTTGGGAATAAAATACACAAGACCGTTAAATAACATGATCGTATTTATTTCAGAAACTGTTATTACAGGACTAGAATTACATAAAATAAGCTACTCTTAGGTGCAGTAAACTTCTGTACTCATGGATAGATTCATAAGGTACCAACCAGATGGCAAAAAAACGAAGGGGTTCGTTGGAGCACCGGGCAAATCTTGAAATCTAAAACTATTGTTCGATTATAAAGAAAAATGAAACAAAATAAATGATAAAAATTACAAGACATTTGTAAATAGTTACAATTTAGAAGGAAAAGAAATGTCTTTAGCGAGGGGAGACCAATATTTTCAGCAAATTTTTGAGATCAAGGAAAATAATTGAGGAATAAAATTTATTCCATTGTGAAAAACCCCGCTACTTTGCTCTCTTTTTTGTCTCCCGCACGAAAGAGCGTACCTCGATTGCGCTGTTTTGATATTTCTTACCTATGCTTTATTTGCTCATGGAAAAATTTCCACATGAATTTTCCTCATATTTTTACCGATTTTCTTATCCTTATGTGAATAGACTCTGAAATTTTTGGACTAATTGTGTGATGGTTCTCCGATGAAAAAAAAAAGTTTGCAGCAATACTGAAACAGCGCAGACAAGATACGTTCTTTCGTGTGGAGGATGAAGAATTGTATCTGAAATTGCTAGGTAAGATAAGGGATCATAACAAATTTTACAGCTGACCTAAGTTTAATGGAATGCAACTTGAAACATAGTCATGAAGATAGATCAAAAATGCATATTTTGAACAGAATCTAATACAAAAATTAATTCTATTAATCAGAATCAACAAAAACTGGTGTGGAGGCAAAAATAATAACTAAACAATGGTAGGGCTGAACCCTACAAACTAAGATCATACAAGTCAGAACATAAATGCTGAGTTACAAAGAGTAACTCGAAAATTACATTAATTGTATGATTAATGAGAAATTAGGATCTGCATTGTAGGTTGTAATTAAGGTTTCCAAAACAAGACATACAACCAGAAATGTTTCGATGCAGAAACACGAGGAAGGTACACCACATCCCTCTTAGAAAAATTAGGAAATTATCTTTAATTTTTTGTGAGAGACAAAGTGGCGTCCCCTTCCCCTCCTCTTCTTCCCTTAGTCCATCGCAGAAATCTGTACAAAATAAAATTACTAAGGAGTATGAGCTGTGATTTCTGAAAAATACAATAATGCGCCTAAAGAATAAAACCATTTCTCAAGGCAAAAACCTGATTTTAATCTTAAAGCGTACTTATACAGAGAGACGAGGGCATCTAATCAGAACACAGTAGTAGTTCAAGTAAGTTCTTGTTATTAATGTTATCTGTTGACTTTTTAGCTGAATTGGTTCTATTTCTAGTTAAGCTCATTATAATTGATAAACACCGAATTTGATAGGTTGACTAAATGTGTAAAATTGTAAATATTTAATGATAGGAAGATGAAATTTCTGATTGTAAAGTAACTCACATCAAACAGAGAAAAAATTAGAGAATGACATTTTTTCCCGTTGATTTTTATTTTTTTTCCCCTTCCATGATGGGAGACAAGAAGTATGATGCCTTCACAAAGTTCAAGATTTGCATTATTACAATATTTTATAATAATGACTTTAATTAGGTTGATTTATTTGCATCAATTACGAGGACAATCGCTGATGCAAAGTTAATGTACATTTAGGCTGAGTTTTATGTTTCAGCAGTGCCGGACATATCGACGCTGAAACTGCAGGCTTGCAAATTGCAAAGTTTCAAAATCTCCTTTTTCATTTTTTTTTATCTATAGAGGACAAACCAGCACTCTTTCTTGTAATTTTCACAGAATATTTTTCAAACAGAAGAAAAAAATCTGGAAAGTTTTCAGAAATTATGTTGAGTATGTTTTCATATAGAAAATAAAGCACAAGGAAGTCAGCAGCGTCCCAAACCATGATACACGTTCCTGTAGTTTTGTCGATATTCCATGACCATTCAACGGAGAAAGCATAAAAAATTCAAATTCAACTAAGCTAGATATTGGTAATTGCAAAAAACAAATGCTCCAAATGAAAGAAAAGATAAAGCATACTTCTTTTTTAATTAATTTGATGAAAATTAAAATGACAAACTTTATTTCCTCTGTAAGAAGATTCGATTCCGAAAAGATTGTATCTCAATGCTGGTGCATCAATTTTTACTTTTAAATTTAAAACAGGAACATGTAGCATAATACTTGAGGCCATACCTTGTTTATTGGCTAGTTTTACCTTTTGAAAGACAAAAACTAATATTCTAGGTTTCAAAAAGACGGTTGCTAAGTCTAAAAAAATACTTAGCAAACCTGTAGCGCTGTAGTATTTAAAATTCATACATTCCTGAAGGCAAAGCAATACATTACACTTCAATTCAGACAGTAAAATTACAGAGAGTACAAATTCTGTCAGGCAAGTCTAAGTGTATATTGAAGCAAAAAGAAAACCTG